TCCCAAGCGGCGCACTGTAGCAGTGCGCCACTGGGCCGGCCCCAGAGTCTGATTTTAAGGTCACCTAATGCAGTAATACTGTTTATTTTCCACAGATATCATTGTGCTTTCTAAATATTTGCAGTGTTATGTCTGTAAAGCTACTTTCTTTAAAGCACGCATGTTTTTTGTATCCTTTCACTCTCATTTTCCCAAAAGAAATGTGTGTCATTGTGTAACTGTCATGTCCTGAATAAGATCTTGGAAGTTATCTAAAAAATACCTTTTTACTCTTAATTTTTCCAAAGGCCCAGAAAGAGTTATTAGATACTGAACTGGATCTCCACAAGAGGCTATCCTCAGGAGAAGACACGACAGAATTACGGAAAAAACTCAGTCAGTTACAGGTTGAGGTGAGATTTAGAAGAAGTTACTGACCCACCACATTTACCATCTCAAAAAATAGTTTTCTCTTCCTCTATTTACAAGGCTTAGTCTAACAATGTACATTCTACCTTTTGCTGATATTCAGGCTGCACGATTAGGTATTTTACCTGTGGGTCGAGGAAAGACCATGTCCTCTCAAGGTCGAGGAAGAGGCCGAGGCCGTGGAGGAAGAGGAAGGGGCTCATTAAACCACATGGTGGTAGACCACCGCCCCAAAGCACTAACAGTTGGGGGATTCATTGAGGAGGAAAAAGATGAATTACTTCAGCATTTCTCAGTAAGTTTTCAAAGTAGCAAATGCCAACTCTGAAAACACTGTATTCAGCATTTTCCTTTCTTCGATCTGTATAATGTCAGATGTTTTATAGATTGAAAATTTAGTTGTAAAAGCATGGGTATTATTAGCAAATTCTTATTAATACATTTCAAGGTCAAGAAGAAGTTCTTGCTTTGTAATTCCATAATATTCCATATAAATGTATTTGTAATGACAAGTTCCAAAGCTACGTTTAATTTTTGTTTTAGGATTATTACATGGCGTGCCAGGTATTTGTAGTCAATAAGTGAAAATAAACTGGGATGGAGGCAAAATTAAAAGAAAGAATTTATTAAGGTAACAGACATGTTTAGTTATATTCTGTATAATGAGTTGACCACCTTTAGGCAAACATGCAAATAGAAATTTGCTATAGGCAAATGTTTTTATTACTTTGGACATACACAGAGTATATATATTCTCTTTTCAAGCACTCAAACTATACAAATGTGAAATACACAAGAAACTGTATACATGTGAAATCCTACGTATACAGATGTGAAAACTAAAGCCTAAAATGTTAACCAAGATCGTATAGTTAACAAGTGTCAGAACCAAGATAACCAGGTTCCCTATTTCCTCAAACAACTTTTTTGAGAGAAAATATTTTCAGCCCTATTACATGTCAAACATAATGAGGGAAATCGTAAAAATAAGGCTTTACTCCAAGTGTTTTATTAGTTTGCTGCCCCTTGATCCTGTTTAGCCTTGACTCTTGGAGAATGGCAGACTGTTATAATGAGTGTCCAGATTTGAGAGCCACCTGGGTTGTGGCCAGTTCACTCTTGACCCAGTTCTTTCACTGGTGTAACCCATATTTTCCTTTTTTTGTAAAGTAGAAGAATAGCTTTAAGTGACTTTGAGGAGTAAAATAGATAATACGTGGAGGAGTGCTACACAAGTGTGGGGTATTCTTGTGAAGGCTGCATGAATATACAATGTAGGCTATATGTAAGAACATAAAGATGTATACATTAATAATAGTATATATCAGAAGTTGACAGACTTTTTCTGTAAAGGGCCAGATAAATATTTTAGGTTTTTGTGGACTACATATTGTCTCTGTCACATTTTCTTCTTTTTCCCTCTCCTTTTACCTGCTCCCTCCTCTCCTTCTATTTCCTCATTTACTTCTTTTATCTTTTAATAACCTTTTAAAAACCATAAAAGCCATTCCTAGCTCATCAGCCATCAACAACAGGGTTCCGGGCCACATTTGGCCTGAGAGCTGTAGTTTACAGACCCCTGTAGTTTATAGACTCCTGGTATATGTTACTGTATTTCTTTATATATTAAATATTTAAGTTCAAAAATATTTATTAAAAATATGAAATGTAAGGGGCTGGCTGGTTTGCTTATTTGGTTAGAGCATGGTGCTCCATAACACTAAGTTCAAGGGTTCAAATCCCTGTACTGGCCAGCTGCCAGGAAAAAAAAAAAAGAAATATAATAAATAGACTTTTTGTATTTTAAAAATCAAGAGCAGTAAGTTTGGAAAGAACTTTCTTAAAAAAGAATTTTTGTCTATCACTTTTATTTTGCAGAGGAATGAGTATATTAAAGGTCTTTATGAAGAATTCCTGTTAAGTATTTTAATATTAATGCTTACTTCAAAAGCTAAAAATTTTGAGTCATAGAGCCTTGCTTAAAGGGCACAGACACCGCAAGAGCTAAAGTACATTGCTTCATCCTTGATTAAAGAGAGGTCCAGTTAATTTCAGTGAGAATTTTTTTTTAAGTTATTTTCCAAAAATGTGGAATATTTGGACTGTATTTTGGCATTTTTCAAGTAGTATGCATCAGTTAACTACAAGATTTTTGAATGGTGGTAGTGTGGTTTAGCTGTTGTACTCAGTGATATAGGGTAGAACTTGGATTTTTTTTTTCCTTCCTGATTATGAAGGCAATACAGGCTTCTCAGGATACATTTGGCTGCAAGTAACAGATAAATAACTTGAAAAACATGGACATTTATTTTTTTTTCTTTTCAAGAAGTCTGGAGGTAGGAGGTTTTAGGATTGATTAATTCAGAAACTCAGCCACACAAATTCTTTCCATGTTTCTTCTCTGCTATCCTTGTTGCTGGCTTTTGTTTTTAGGCTTTTCCTCATGGTTTCAGGATGGCTGCAGCAACAGTCCTCATAGCCTCCAGTAAGAATGTCCAAAGGCAGGAAAAGAAGTATACCTTTCTTATGCCATTTTTTAACATTGTGAGGGAAACCTTCCCAGAAAGTATTCCCACTCACCACTATCACCACCACCACTCCTCCCCTGGCCCCACCTAGCAATGTGCCTTTGTATATCTTAGCCAGAATTGTCACTTACCCATTTCTGAACTAATCCCTGTTGAGAGAATTGGAGTTACTATGATTAAACCAATTTTGGTTCACCTTCTGAGTTGAGGCTCACATGTGGTGACTGGCTGGTGATGAAAATCAGGATCTGTTTTAAAAAGAAAGAGGTCAAGTAGTTGTTGGTTTGACAGCTAACAGTATCTTACATGATGTTCATTGAAGAAAACTTAGAAGGATGCAAATATATATAAAGAAGAAAATAGCAACAACCTCTAGTATGTTAGAATCTTCTGTTACAATTTTTTTAGTTCTGTTTTCATTAAAGCTATACATGCACATCATTTGAAGAGTCAAATTAACTTAGCCATAATGGTAAGCAGTCTCTCACTCTATTCTCTTCATTTTTCCCTTCTTTAGAGATATCCACTTTTAACTCTTTTTGCTGATTCTTTCGGTATTTTTTTTCATTTCTGTTTTTACTGTTACTTCTTGATTTTTAAATTTTAAGCATTGTATATTGACTTCCTATTAGTCTTTCTGCTTCCCACCTCCCCAGTTTTTGTGGTTTTGTTGTATTCTCTCTCATTTTCTCTCTTTTTTGTGTGTGTGGGTTTATGCCTTTAAAAAATAAATCACTCTACTATCATTTCTGTTGAGGGGGGGGATATGAAATTACATACAACAGATGGTCAGTCCTCCATCTTTAGCCAGAAAACCATTTGAGTCTTAAGAAAGTAAGAGATTCAGAAGTTTGAGCTTCTGCATGCCTCCCCCACCGGCCCCCAATATTTATATAATTCATTATAGTTTTTATGCTCTTACTGGCAAGAACCTCTAATTTCCCACCCCTGCCATTCCTGGAACTTCATATAAGGCAGCTGAGTACCTCTGCTGTAATTACAGAAGACTATTCACAAACAGCTTTTCCCCATAGCCTTTCAAGATAGCATTTTTACCCATCTTCCAAGTACCTGAAAAATATATTTGAGAGTTTTACTGTATATGGGAGTGATACCTTATAGTTAGGCAATTAATTTTCTTTTGCATTTATCAGAACAAAAGTTATCTTTTCTTTGGTTTTAACTTTTGGAGAGACTTTTCTGGATAGTGCTTCATTAATTGCCCTTCGTCATGACTTGTTAAAAACTTTCAGTAACGTAGATGTGTTGTGAACTACTGATATTTGCTGTCATTATCTATCACTGGTGATTGGGAGGTTATTTTTTTTCTGTACACTATACTGTGTAGAGGATTCTTCTGATAAAAAAATGTAATCTTGGTAGTTAGTTTTAGTAGTGAAATGTGGCAATAATAGTTTTGTGACCTTTACATCACTGAAACTATAAACTGCCTTAATTTTCTTTCTCTTAATTTAAAAAATTCCTTTAGAAAGATAATACCTGCTCTAAGAACATCCAAATAACACAGTTATAAAGGAGAAAGTATAGCAAATCTGAATTCTCTCCAGTTACATTTTTATGAACATCTTTGCAACTCCTATATCTTTCATACGTATACATTCTACCTGCACTGTTTGGAGTTTGTTTTTTTCACTGTTTGGAGTTTGTCTTTTTTTTGGTTTTTTGGCAGCTGGCTGGTAAGTGTTTGGAGTTTGTCTTTTTTTTGGTTTTTTGGCAGCTGGCTGGTAAGAGGATTTGAACCCGTGACCTTGGCCGTATCATGTCATGGGAGTCTTTAATGTTTATGAATACAGGTACACATTTGTCTTTTTTTTGGTTTTTTGGCAGCTGGCTGGTAAGAGGATTTGAACCCGTGACCTTGGGGTTGTAAGGCTGTGGTCTAACTGTATGAGTTAACCAGCCAACATATGTTTATCTTACTTAAAGGTATTCTGTTGTAAGAATGTACCATTACTGATGTGTCCAGCCTCCTATTGATGGTTAGTTAGGTAGGTTTCTCATTTTTCACTATTACAAACGGTGTTATATATATCTTATTGGATTTGGCATTGTTGAATGGGATAATTTTTCATTATGTGGGACAGTCCTGTACATTACAAGATCTTTAGCACCCCTGGCTCACACCTACTTAATGCTCTTCAGTCAATGTGACAACCAAAATACTACCTAGAATGATGTTACTGTTTCCAATTGAGAACCATTACTTTAAGTAAATTCCTAGAAATGAGATAACTGGGTTAAAGGCATGCATATTTAAAGTGTTGGTATAGCTTACCAAACAACCTTTCAGGAATGTTGTGCTAATTTATGCCTGTAGTAACATTGGATGAGAGTACATATATTTTCCCATACCCTCATGTAGCACTTCAGTTGTTTTTTTTTTTTTTTCTTCTTGGCCAGTCAGGTGATTGATGAATGATGACTGGCACAGATTTGGCATTAGTTTCTGACTTAAGAAAATGGCTAGACTAGGTGAATTTCTGTCAGAGCAGCTTCTACCGATAAAGTTCCAAGAACCCTAAGCTACTGCATATGACTTCATTTATGATATATAATTGATATGCTCATATTCATATATATGTTCTTTTTTTTTTTTTAATTTGAATCATTTTATCTTCTTGGCCAGCACACATACAAAATGTAAAAAGAGTAAAAGTGTTAGATGCGTACAATGAAAAATAAGATTCCCTTCTACCTCCAGTCACTTGATTTCATTCCCACAGGCAATTACTGTTAACCAGTTTCTCATAAAAGATACTTGAAAAAGTCACTGGAAAGATTTGTATTATTTTTTAATTCTATTTTTCCATGAACTTTTTGAAATACCTTGTATCTTCTCAAAGGTAATCTATTACAGTCTTGTACTGCATAACAACGTTTCAGTCAATGATGACTTGCATATATGACAGTGATTCCATAAGATTATAGGTGTGTAGTAGGCTATACTATCTAGGTTTGTGTAAATACACTGTATGATATTCACACAATGACAAAAATGATATACTTCACAGAAAGTATTCCTGTCACTAAGCAACACATGACTGTATTTGCTCTCTCTTTTACAGAAATGGTAGCATGTTAATAAATACTCTTTCATACATGTTTTTATCACTTAATATGTATTAGATTGTTATTAGAGATTGTTCTATACTAGTGCATTTGGTGTTGCTTCATTCTTTTTAATGGCTGCATGGTATTTCATTATGTTGATTTATTATTACTATGTTTATATAGTACCATATTGACGGACATCTAATTTTTTCTCAATATTTCCTTATTTCAATCCATGTCTAGATATTTGTGTGAGAGAATATATTGTGTATAGCAAAATTAGACATTTTAACAGATAAGTGATATTTTAAGAGGTCGGTCCTAAATTTTTTAAGTCCTTTTTTAATTTAGAAAAGTAATCCATGCAAATGGTTAAAATTATGGTTAATAAAAAGTAAAAATCTCCTTTCTTTTACTAATTTGCTTACTCTTTAAGATAGTTTAAGATAGTTGCTGTTCTTTGATATCTTTATAGAAAAAAATTATGTGTGTAAGAATACATATATAAAGCCTCTCACTTTCAAAACATTTACCAAAATGGGATCATATTATAAATATAGGGCTGCATCCCAAACCTTGCTTTTTTCACATAGAAATCTTAGCTATTTGGTATTTCCTTAAAATCATAAAGGTGTAAGACGCAATTTAAAATGTTTATTAAAAACAAACTATACCAATTAGAAACATATAGTTTAATGATTTATCAGAAGGCACACATCCATGTATCTACCCCTAAAGTCAAGAAACCGCATTCCCAGCAACGCAGAAGACCCCCGTGTGCCCCCCCAGTCTCTATCTTCTCTACTCCTCAGAGAAGTAACATTACTTTCACTTTATGATAATCTCCTCATTGCTTTCTTCATACAGTCCATCCTTATTATTTGCAGATTCCATATTTGCCAGTTCTTCTATCCACTAAAATTTATTTGTAACCCCCAAATTAATAGTCACGGTGCTTTTGTAGTCATTCTCAGACATGCACAGTGTTGCAAGTTCCCTGGTGCCCGTGTTTCCAGCTCAGGTTGAATAAGGTGCTGCTTTGCTTTCTTCTTTCAGCTCTCATGCTGTAAACAAATGTCCTTTTTGCGGTCTATTTAATGCCACATATTTCTCAGTTTTTTGCTTTTTGCTGGTGATTAAACTGTTTTAAATGGCCTTCAAGTGTAGTTCTGAAGTGCTTTCTAGTGTTCCTAAGCGCAAGAAGGCTGTGATGTACCTTACAAAGATATATGTGTTAGATAAGCTTTGTATGGGCATGAGTTGTAGTGCTTTTGACCATGAGCTCAATGTAATGAATCAACAATGTTTATTAAATAAGGTGTCTTTAAACAGAAACACACATAAAACAAGGTTATGTACTGATCACTTAACAAAAATGTTGTGATCTTCCAGAGGCTCATAAGAATATATAACCTTGTATTCTGTCAGAGCCAGTGGTTTAATATTTGCTAATTCAGTTTTTATGGAAATTTTTTAGAACATAACTACTGCAGATAACGAGAATTAACTGTAGTTTTATCACCTAAATGTAAATTCCTAAATATTATCGTATTATTCAGAGGGCTGGTCAGTTAGCCCATTTGATTAGAGTGTGGTGCCAATAACACCAAGGTCCAGGGTTTGATCCCTCTACCAGCCAGCCACCAGAAAAAAAAAAAAATCATATAATATTATTCTGCCTGTTTTTTAAATTTCGTATTAATGAAATCACACAATATGTCTTCTTTTGTGTCAGTTTGTTTTGTTTACCATTGTGTTTGTGAGATTCATTCATGTTGTTACATGTAACAGTAGTTTTCCATTTGTATTGCTTTATAATATTCAGTTGTATAAATATACCACAATTTCTTTTTCCATCTTCCCACTGATGGATATTTGGATTATTTGTACATTGTGGCTTTTATAAACAGTGCTGCTATGAACATTCTTATAGATGTCTTTTACTACACATGTGCACACATTTCTGTTGGATATATGTGGAATTACTGAATGAACCTCATCAGTTTTAGATTCTTACTAGTTTAGAATTGGTTTAGATTTTCACCGGTCATGTATGAGAGTTCCTCACTTGGTATTGTCAGAATACATCTTTATTCTAATTGCTGATCTTACCTGATTTGTAATAAATTAGATAATGGGAGTTACTCTTTGTTACAGACTGTATACAAATTAAATTTCTGGCCCTCTCCCTTCAGTAATATGTATGTAGTACATTTAATGCATTAAAATTCCTTTTGGAGGACCAAACTGCTACTCTCTTTGGAGGGCAACCCAGTCCTTACAGACTAAAAAATCTTTATTGCTTTTTCTGATTATAAAAGTAATATATTTTTATTTAAAAATTCAAATAATGAACGAAATGAAATGAATGAAACAAATAATGAAAGCCTCTCTATAATTGAGCTGCCAAAGGATAGAGTAAAAGGGCAAAGGATGTCTGTTACACACATTAACTGATTTTTAAAAGATGGTAAATATATATTTGGATAAGTCCATTTTGATATGCAGGTTTGATATTGTCCCAGGAGTCAAAAGTGTTTTGTGTTAGGTTACAAGCATATAACCCCCACAGGAATGATGTTAACTTTTTTTCTTAGATCACAGCAGAATATCTATGCAGGCAGTAATTGATGTGTTAAGGGTCTGGACTAATGTACAGTCTTACCATGCAGTGCTCCAAGTGTTTTATGGAAACATTTGGCAAATTCTTTATGAGGTTTATCAATTTTCCTAGACAAACTAGAGTGAGACCCCAAATTCAAAAGAACTACTTCTATTATGTTTTCCAGAATTGCACCCAAAATGGGGATAATTCTACATTTCAGCACCTTTGATAGGAAGGCTGTAGGGATGACCAAGCTTTTACTTTCGGGAAACTTTGTGTTCCTATTCTTTTGTCTCTGTTGCTTGGTCTTTAACATTAAACTTTTGCTTTCTCTTATTGGAATTTGCTGGGGAGGAAAAAAGTGTTTAGAAGGTAGACCGAGAAACACACCTGAAACAGAACAGTTTTACCTTGAGGTTGGATAGTTGGTGTTTAATGTTTATTGAATGTGTAGATGAGCTGGGTAGTACTTGTCACTGTATAGCATTTCAGAAGAGACAGTGGGAACACTATCAAATATAGGTGAGGCTGCAAGAGATGCAGTGAGATGAAAAGACATGAGATGACTCACCTTTTTAAGAAATTGTGTGTGTATTTTTAAGGTTTTAGTCTAAATATGTAGATATCAAAGCTTAAGATCAGTAATTATTGATAAAAAAAAATTTGTTGTCCACATCATTACTTTTATAAGTAGAGTAGCTCTATAATTTATCATCCCAACCAAGACAAATACTAAAATTTACATGACATAGACATAACCCATGGACTATCCTAGGCAAACCAGACCATATAGTTGATCTAATTACAAGGGACTTCATTTTCTTCTAGCTCTCATTGAAAATTGTAGATCCACCTAAACAGATTTTCCCATAAAATCATTACCCTTTTCAAATAGCACAAAATTTGAAGAAATCAGTAGTAAATATGAGTGCAAACTTATGCGTTCTTTTAAAATGTATTTTAGGCTGCAAACCAAGGGTCAAAATTCAAAGACCGTCGGCTACAAATATCATGGCACAAGCCCAAGGTACCGTCTATATCCACTGAGACTGAGGAAGAGGAAGTCAAGGAGGAGGTAAATTTAATGACTGAAAATAAGAGTTGGATTAGACTACTTCCTGATTATATATTTTTCTTGACATTAAGTAGTATAAATTAAAGAAATAAATGTTGGGTTTTGCCTATATGAATGCAGTTAGTTAAGACCAGTCCAGAAGTTTCGTACAGAGTTAGAACAACTACAGAAATGACAAGCTCTTTGGGGAGTTATTTTCTTCTGGTCTAGGAGAGACTGTTCTTTTCTTCTCTTTTATTTACATTTATTTTGGCTTAGCCTCTAGAAATTTTTATTCTGGTAAATGAGGACATGGATTACATGAACAAATTAAATTTTAATTGGTTGTTTTAGCTTTTCGTTTCTTCAAGTTCCATCATGATAGATTTGAATTTTTTATTTTCTCTTTATGTACAATTGATTAAAATGAAAGTGTGTAGAAGCTGGACATAGAGGGAAGAATTGGAAAACTAAGGACCTAAATAATACGAGTACTGAATAATAAGCTTCTTAAAACATATGAGAATTAATTTTGCTTTTTTCACTCCTGTATTTCTAATTAGTTTATGAAAGTGAACACAGCCTGCATCAAGTTATTCCAGATTCATCATAATCTTGGTTTTTCAAAGATGTCTAGCATTTATAGTTGATTGTCTTCTGACTACAGTCATTTCTCTGTATCCATGGGGGATTGGTTCCCCACCATGGGTTCCAAAATCCCTGGATGCTCTGATCCCTTGTATAAAATGGCATAGTCTTTGCAGATAACCTACGCACGTCCTCATGTATACTTTAAATCATCTCTACATTACTTATAATACCTACTGTAATGCCTATGCATCACTTCATTCATGTGCATTCATCATAGCACCTGGTACACAACAAATTCAGGCTTTGCTTTTTGGAACTTTGGAAATTTTTATACCCCCAAATATTTTCCATCTGGGGTTGGTTGAATCCACAGATGTGGAACCCATGCATTTTACCTAACAAAAGCAGAAATGTTCCCTATGTTAAAAAAAAAAAAAAAAAAGAAAAGAAAAGTCCTGGTATATTAGTAATATTTGTAGATACTTCTACTTCGTGTAAGATTTTGGATTTTTGTATAAGATTTGAAATGTCAGTGTAATGGGGAAGTTAGTGTACTCATCCCTCACAGATAATTGGATCGGTATACTTGTAAAAGGAAAGATACAGGAGTTTGAGTGGTCATTTATTTTCCTTATTTTTAGTTAATGTAATAAAATTAATTTAAATCAATTCATTAGAAATATATCTCATAGGTATTTTTTATTTACCCTACTGAATGTCCACATATTGTTTATTTTATTTTCCTGATGATGTTAGAATGGAAATCTCCTAGCAGAATTTTCAGGGGAGAAGAATTTATGCCATTAAAAAAATGTTTTGAATTTTTTCTCCCTGAAAGATCTTCTGAGTACATCACTTGTAAATCCAGCTTGGGCTTTGTATACGAGTCTATTTGTCCTTTGGCCTAAAAAGTATTTTACGTAACATTCTTATACTACTAAGCAGATTTTTACCCTCTCTTTTTCTTCAGGAAACAGAAACCTCAGATTTGTTTTTGCATGATGATGATGATGAAGATGAAGATGAATATGAGTCTCGTTCATGGCGAAGATGAAATCTGATGCGAGCTGTATAATTTTTAGGGATATTGTTTAGAAAAACAACTTTTTAAAATTATTTAAAGAAGTCAATGAGCCAAAAAAATTTTTTTATTTTTTCTTTTTAACACAGTAGGTCTAAGGATAGCAAGTTTGCTATTTAAACACATCTCATAATTGTACATGATATTAAAGCACCAAAGGCCTAGTGACTTTTACACAGTTGTGAAGATCCACAGGAATGACATGGATAATCTCTAGAGCCTTATTTTCCACACCACCTGTTTTTGTTGCTATTGGTGTTGGATTATGATGTAAATGACAGGGTGTTCAGAAATTTTATTTTGGATTATAATCTGCTGATAAAATTTCATTAAATGTCAAAATCGCCTGCAATCTCTTAACTCTCAGCTGTTATGGATGGGTCGTCAGACAGTAGGAGTTATTTGTAATTTAAATACCCTTTTGCTTTCAAGAGTTGTCTTGGAAGAAAAGTAAATGTATTATTATTATTATTTTATTTTATTTTTTTACTATGGAGGAGCCCAATTTGTATTCAATCTAAATTTTTTTCAGGGTTTTTTGTGCAGTAGTACTATTTTAGTGAAAATCACAACAAACTCTGTGTTCTTAAATGCTATAAGGCAATTGTAGCTACCTCTGGTATTTCCATGCTCTCATATTAACTCCTGAACTTTTCCTGTTACTGATTCTTATTTTGCTTTGATACTTAGCATTCGTTTAGTTCTCCTTTTTTTTTTTAAAATAACACTCTCAGAATGTAAAAGTCTCTTACCTATTGTCCGTCTCTTATCCCCTTTTTCTTCCTCTTGCCTTTTTATTAATAGGCCTGACTTACCCATTATAGAGATTAATTGATCCATTTGGGCCACCAAAAGTCAGTCCCCAATAAAAGGTTTAAACCAGCACCTTGATAAATAAGTGATGTTTTGATGAGACTAATGGTAATGGAAGGATTCGGGGGGCAGAGAGAGTCACCAGCTTTTTTTTTTCCCCCTCCTTTTAAAGCTCCAGTTTAGTTGTAGTTACACAAAAGGATTAAAAGGTGTCTGAAATTCTTTTTCTCAATTTAAACCATGATGCTGAAGTGACTGGGGGTAGGGTGGGATAGAGGGCTGGGTATGCTAGTAATAAATGGGAGTCATAACTTGACATTGATCAGATGACCTTATATTTTCATAATTTTGTAGCTTGTTGCTATCCATGAACACATGCATCCTTCAGTATAGACAGTTTCCTTTACTGTGTGCATTTTTACTGTACACTGTATAGAGTAGAGAATGTGTTAAGTAAAATATATATGTAAATTTATGTCTTTGTGTTCTGAATGTTAGATGGAAAAAAAGCAGAGGAGCAACACTACACTGTACTGACCCCTGGGGAAATAAAATGATTAATGTACATAGGATGTCACTTTTCCAAGGATATACACATTTGTGTTTTTATATACGTGTGGTGTGAAAATTTGAAACTTCCTGTTGGCTTCAGAAGGTTCTTGGTGATCACTATATCAAGGATTTTGTTTGCTGAGGTAAAGACTATTTCTCAAAATAGAAACTATTCACTAAGAAACTTAAAACCATCAGGACTCTAGATTTACTTAGCTACAAGAAGTTAAATCTCATGTTCTGATCATCCTTTCTCTTCTACATATTTTCCTGGAATGATGTGTCAAACCAGGATCATTTTAAATTCATGTAATTTTTCCTTCATTACAATAGGGACTTCCTCTTTCTAGGTTATTATTATATTTCTGATAACACTGAAGCTAAAATAAGCTTGTAAAAGAATGGTAACGTTAGAGTGGGGTACCTAAAATAAGCAATCTTGCTCCTTACTCCTCCATCATCTCTAATGAAATTTTCTTGATGTCTGTGGCTCAGTCAGTATATATTTTGAAAGATTCATTGTGGTGAATATTTTGAGTCCTGACAGTTTAAATGTGATAGAGGGAACAAAGGATTTATATATTTTTTGTACAAAGTTTTTTCTTAAATTGTATAATTTTGTAAATAATTTGTTTGGGTTTTTTTGTGTACTAAAACTACCAGCGTATAGATTTCAATAAGAATTGTTGTATTTTTGTATTTGGAAGCTGAAAATTACAGTAAAGTAATGGAGCTGTAAGAAAATTTTCAGTAGACTGACAGTTCAACAGAATGAGATTCCTTTTCATATGATTTTTTTAACCTCAAAATTGACATCTTATTACATTGTCAGTAGGAACAGAGTTGAGAATTTGTTTGACTTTTTAGTTGCTGGGGGCAGGGATGAAATAGAAGGGTGTTAAAGTGATGAACAGATAGTTTTTCAGAAAGGCTTGAGGCCCTTTATGTAAAACTTGTATTTCAGTACAACTTAAATAGGACTAAAATACGTTAAAAAATTTCCTTCCTAAGAATTCTAAAACGTGTTTGACTCTAAAATAAATTCAAGATATGGCTTAATTATAACATTAAAAAACTTAAGGTTAGCATAAAATAGTTGAATATATATATTTTTTCCTTTGGGATTTTTTTATCCCCACCCTCAAATCCTTAACTGTTAGAATTTCTTTTAAAAGTGAATAACTACCATGACTTGTTTTCCTGTTATCTTCATCTAATGAAATAATATGTAGCATCTGAGGCAAACTCTGCTGTTTTTCTTAATATGTATGACATGTGTATAAGTAGCTGATCAGCAATAACAGCCAGTAGTCTAGCTAGGCCAGCCTGATTTACTAGTGGATTACTATCCAAGCTTTAAAAAGGTAACCCCAAGGAATGCAAGATTTCCCTCAGTTTCATCGTGTAACATTGGGAAAATATTGTCACCAGCTAAGGTGATAAATTGGAAAATAGTCCAGTTAAGGTGAAAAAGGTCCATGGTGATGGATCATTATTTCAAAAAAGAAGAAAAAAATCATGTGAAAAGGAATAGTGGTTCCTCTTGATGTATAGTATGCCTGTATTATAGTTTTTACAAAATTGTGAACTTGTGTAATAGTATAATAGGAGATATTGTTGAATTTCTAACTGTTTATACATTTAAATTCATATATGTAATGTTTGTTTTATCGATTACAATCTGAATTTCTAAGAAGCATGTTGACTTTTGCAATAAAGATGCAATATGGAATGGTTCACAATTGGGAAAAAAAAAAGACGAAAGTATGAATTTAAAAGAATTTGGAAAACTTATGAACCATTCCAGAAATTATAACAATCACCAAAAGAGCTGTAATTCTGGCTTGTTCTGGAAAGAAAGAAAATGTGTGTATGCTTGCTTGTGAGAGAGTGAGTAGTGGATAAGTATGTGTGTTTTATGTTGGGTTCATGTACATGAGAGAATGTCACTCAATATGAAGCTGGGATCGAAGACACTGGCTATTAAATATTCAGTAGGGTAATTCCCTCAACAGGGTAGTATGGAGAATGAAAGAGAAAGGTATTAAAGTGCTACTTGTAAGTAACGTTGGATAGCCAAATTTTTTGTTCATGAATGGGTCTTGGTATCCCAGATATAAAACACAAATAATTTTGTGAAAGCATTTATTGTAATGTTATGTCGAGGATATTCAGTATGCCTACCAACAATAAGAAGGACGCTTTTCATAAGTAGAATAGGGAGAAGGGAAGGAACACCCAGAAGACATGACCTGAAAGATACATAAGTTCTAAATGTGATGAAGATTTGTAAAGAATAGCAGAAGGCAGTGGTCTTACACACTTGAGGGCTGGGTGGTAATGGGAAGGGGAAGGGAATCGCTTGGACTCTTGTTTCCTCATTTTAAAAATTGCTAGTCTTACAAAATTCCCTTTCAAGTGATTATACGTTGTCTAAAAAGGGTAGTTCTTAAGATTTCAGCTTATATAAGAAAATACTAAAAAATGAGATGAAATTTTATTTTCTTTTCAAATAAGCAATTAAAGAAACTTTATTTGTGTTTTATGTATTATGTAAATGGCAAGTAAACTTGATCCTATAAACATTAGTTCTGGGGCTTTTTTGGGGGGAGCAGACATAATTCTGAACAGTTATGTTTGCCAAAGAGTAATGAGTCAAATGTTTTACTAAAATGGAATTCTCATTAACAGAAATTGATTTTATATGATATTTTTACTGATTTTGGTGTAAATTGTGCTAAAGCCAGGGATAAATTTTGAAACATTAGCCCCAGCATACTATCTAGTCTGGATCTAGTTATATTACAGTTAAAACAGATAGGATCGTGTACGTCAGCATTTAGGATATTGGATGATAGAGTCAGGGTTGCCTTATTTTTATTTTTTTATTTATTGAAACATGATTATACATATCTGTGGGGTACAGTGTTGAATATCAATACCTGTGTGCAATATGTGATGCTCAAATCAGGATCAGGGTTGCTCTAGACCAAATGGGCCAACATTATTTTGCAGGGCAAACCTGCTCATTTTGTATTCATTTTTTGTCTCAAAGACCTACTTGAAGGGCCAATCAACAATGACTTTAAAAAAAAAAAAGGCTATATACTGCAATTGGATTTGTTATGAATCACTTTCATTTATGCTGAATTGATTTTATTGCCAGTACATCTCCTTTCAACAGGTTCATCTACCATTTGGCCTTTTACCTGTTCTGTAGTCGACCGTAGGTTGATTAAACCATTCCAGCTTTCTGAGATAGGTGACTTGATGCAGGTGAAATTAAGGTCAGAATAGTGTTTGACAGATGTTTTGCAAGATATTTGTTTTTTGCATCTACTCTTAGGCTTCTGCAAACAGTTTTTTTGTTTTATTTTTTATTTTTATATTTTGGTGGTGGTGATAATTACTGGTGGTCACCAAAATAAGCTTGATAAACATTGCTGTTACTTTGTATTTATGATAAATTATCTCTTCTTTTGTGAAAGAACATCAAGGGACAAAGGCCTTAATCTAGTAGCCTGTTATTAGCTTGTTTTACATGAAAATAAGCCTGTATTTCATACATCACTTCAGTTTTCAAACCACTTCATAGAGTTCTACTTTGATATACTGATTCATTAGTTCTTAAAATAATATTTAGTGTTGGGGTTAGGTTTAGCACTTGATTGTTCAGAATTGTTTGTTCTTTACTCAATTCTTTTTTGGAGAGCAGGGGTGGAAAGCCTTAGCCATGTTAATTAGCATATTTAAGTAACATGGCTTAGCTAGCTAATCGCTTAGCCATGTTTCTGTTGACTAAATTCTTAACATTATGTAAAAACTTTATAAAGGTAAATGTCTTGTTAATAGTTCTAAAGTCCTTGTGACTGTATTTCTTTTTATTTTGCTCCCAGACAGCTGTTGTTGTGAGATACCGATATATTTCTCCCAATTTAAAATTAGTAAGAACTCGCTAAATTACTTTTGTTTGTTGA